GCTAGAGGGTATTATGCTCAGTGAAATAAGCCAGGCGGAGAAAGACAAGTACCAAATGATTTCACTCATATGTGGAGTATAAGAACAAAGAAAAAAAACTGAAGGAACAAAACAGCAGCAGAACCACAGAACCCAAGAATGGACTAACAGTTACCAAAGGGAAAGGGACTGCGGAGGATGGGTGGGAAGGGAGGGATAAAGGGGAAAAAGGGGCATTACGATTAGCACACATAATGTCGGGATGGCCGGGACATGGGAAAGGCAGTATATACAGAGAAGACAAGTTATGATTCTATAGGAACTTACTATGCTGATGGACAGTGACTGTAATGGGGTATGTGGGGGGGACTTGATAATAGGGGGAGTCTAGTAACCATAATGTTGCTCATGTAATTGTACATTAATAATAGCAAAATAAAAATAAGAGAAAAAGAAAAAGATTAGGAAGGATATAAAGGATTGGCATAATCCTATCAACTAACTCCATCTAATTTTCCTGATCCCTGTACCCACCCCAAATATACACTCTTTTCAAGTTATGAGGAACACTGAAGATAAATCATACGCTGAGGCATAAAGTAAGTCCCAGCAAGTTTCAAAAGACTCTTACAGAATATGCTCTTTAACAAGAAAGGGATTACATCAGCAATCAATGACAACAGCATCATCAAAAAAAACAAAAAAAAACCCTCTAAAAGTTAAAAATGGAACACATTTCTTTTTAAAGAAGAATCCACAAGAGAAATGAGAAAATATTTTAAACGTAATGAAAACTGACATGTATCAAAACTTACGGGCCATGGCCACAACAAGGGAGAGGAGCATTCTCAGGCTGAAACGGAAGGATTGGGGGAAAAAGAAAGGTTTGGAATTGATGATCTAGACTCAAAATGGGCAATAAGGAAAGAAAACAAGAAAGATAAGAAAAGAAAACAGGTGGGGGAGGGTGGACAGCAAATGAAAGAGAAAAATGAACAAAGTTGTTTCTGTGAAAAGATGAATATAATATTGACAAACCCCATCAAGGAATAAAGAAAAAATACAGGTTTAAAATACTAGGAATGAAACAGGGACTTTCACTGCAGGTCCGACAGACAAGACATGAGGAACGATTTCACCCCAGTAAACCCAACAGCTCAGATGATACGGACAGATTTCTTGAAAGATGCACACTATAAAACTGACATAATTAAGAAACAGAAAAATGTGAATAGCCTGCTATCTGATAAAGAAATTAAACTGTGTAATACACTTTCTGGGAAGAAAACTCTAGGCCCAAATGACTTCAATGACAAACTCAAACATTGAGAAAGAAGTCATACGAATCTCACGGTTTGCTTTTTCAGTATGTAGAGGAGGCAGGAACACCTCCCAGCTTACGAGGCTATAGAACCCGAATATTGAGACCCGACAGAAGAAAATTACAGACTAATGTCCCTCAGGAGCATAGATATAAAAATTCATAACAAAACACTAACAAATTAAATCCAGGAACACACAAAAATAATGTAGTATGACTACAGATGTAAAATAATATATCACAACTCTCAGAAATTCGAGCTAATTTAAGATTTTAAAAATCACGTTAATAGGAGGGCTAAAAAAGAAGAAAATAAAAATAAAAAACCACCTCAACAGACACAGAAAAAGCATATGACATAGTTCAATGCCCAGAGATGGGGGAATAATTCTCAGCAAATCAGATCACTCCCTCAGCCTGAGAAGAGGTCTCGATGAGGATCCCACAACTAATGCAGGATTGCACACGTGACAGGACGGATGCCCCGTCAGACTGGGAGCAAGGCCAGGACGCCTGCGCTCGCCATGGACAGTGGGCATTATTTATCCAGGACTTCGCGGCCACTGCCACAAGGCAAGTAAAAAATAAATAAATAAAATGCGTTGAGGACTGACAAGAAATAAAAACATCTTTATTGAAAAATAATGAAAAAAATTTTAACATCTTTACTGAGATATTCACATACCATAAAACTCACCCATTTAAAGCGTACAATTCAATGGTTTTATTGTATCACAGGATTGTGGTGATGGTTGCAAACTAAGTTAGAACATCTCCATCACTCCACAAGGAAATCCCACTCATTATAGGCCAGTCACACCCTCCTAGAAAATGAAATTGTAAAATGCAACTTACAATCAACATCAAAGAACACATAACATACATAAGAGTAAATAAAATGAAAGACCTCTGTGCCGAAAATTGTGAAATAACTGCTGAGAGAAATTTAAGTAGACCTAAATAATGGAGAATGTGCTGTGTTTATGGATGGGAAGATTCAACAGTGTTAATTTTCCCCAAATTTGCCTGTGGTTGCAAAGCAATCACAGTAACAAATTTCAAGGGGCTTTCTGGTGGAAACTGAGAATCAACTGATCTCTGCCCCCACCCCAAGGTATTTGGGTAAATCAGGGGGGGGAAGAGAAGCCTGATGTCATACCACAGACAAAAACTAATTCACGATGGGTCACAGACCTAAACACACAAGCCCAAACTGTAATTCTTCTTTAACAAAAATAATAAATAACATAAGAGTATCTTTGTAACCTTTAGGTAGGCAAAGATTTTGTGCAGAGCACACACAAGGTAATAACCACTTCAAAATTCAATCGATAGGACTGCTCATTATAAAATCATAAAATCCTGCTCATTAAAAGACAACATTAAGAAAGTGAAACTGCAAACCTCAGACTGGGTGAAAATACTCCCCACAGAGACAGGCACTTAGAATATTCTAAGAACTCCTACAAATCAGTACCAAAAAGACAACCGACCCCCCAAGGCAGGGAAAGGCCGTCGGTGGCGCTCACTAGAGACGACACACAGACGGCAGCCGGTGACACATGGACAGAGTCACAGACACGAGCACCTGGAAAGGCACCGGGCCCCCTGTGAGGAGGGGATGACCAGGGTCACGACGAGGCACTCTCACACACCCACCAGAACAGCAAAGATCAAAAGACCGACCAAGTCAGACGCCCCAGGTGCCGACCAGGATGCGGGGCAGCCGGGCCTTCGCGCGGCTGTTGTGGGGGAAGACGGCGCAACTGTGCTGGAAAACAACTCGGCGGCTTCCTGTGCAGCGAACCCTACACCTGCTCTTTGACCCAACCATTTGCTCCTAGGTATTGATCTAAAAAAATGAAAATGCATGTCCACAAGAAAGACTTTAATAAGACTATTCACACCAGCGTTACCCATAATGGTAAAGCCTAGACAGCCTGAGCATCTAACAGAGGATGAATGAATCATGAAATATTCATACTATAAAACATTCCTCAGCATTAAAAATAAGAAGCTATTAATACACACAATCAAACTAGTCAATCTCAAAAACATTATGCTGAGTCCAAGGAGCGGGAGAGGGCGCTGCATAACCCAGATCCGTGTGCAGGAAGCGAACTGAGGGTGACGCATCGGGGCCCTGACTAGGGGCTGGGGATCAACTGGAAGAGGGTGCGAGGGAACAGCCCAGGGCAACGGGCAGATGTATGTATTTGCCAAAGCTCCCTGAGTTGTATGCTTACAACTGTGCTGAGACAATGAAACACACTGAACACTTTTCAAAAAATAAATGCAAGGGATCTTCCTGGGGAAAAAAGTCAGAAAGACCTGAGAATCAAAGGGTCCAGAAGTTTAGAATACTGTGTTTGGGTTACCCACAGAAATCAATCAGGATCGAGAAAGGATGAGACCGAATACCTGTTAACTCTCCTTGGGCATTTCTCTGGCTTGATATCCAATTCATAATGATAAATGTCAATTTTTGGAATGTCCATTTCAAAGAAGTTGGCCTGTAACTTGATTGTTCTCCCGGAGGTCCCGAAGTCGGGTCTGGGCGGAGGCTTGAAGGCATATCCTTGGATGGGTGGTGGAGGCGCAGGAGGCGTGAGCACTGGGAGAGCAAAGAGCACAGTTACAGGGGAGCAGCGGCTTCTCTACGGCTCGTGGCACCGCAAAGTGGGTGCCCCCCAGCCCCCAGCCTCGCCCCCTTCCTCCTCCTCCATTAGGGCCACACCGCACCACCTGAAACTCGCATCTGCCCTGCCCACAGCTGCCAGGCTCAAGGGCTCTGCCGGCCTGGCCCTCCTGCCACCCGGTGGCACATGACTCCGGGCCATGCCCTCCCTTTCAGACCATCCCCCCACCCCTTGCCTCCCTGCTCTGCCCAGAGCCCTGGACGCTGGGCTTCCTGCCTGGCCCCCCTGTCTTACAACGGGCTCACACAGGCCAACTGCCCCCGGGCTGGTGTCTCCGGGGAGGCCGAGGGCCACCCCCACGGCACCCTCCTTTTACCCTCTTTCCCCATGCATCCTCTCCTGTCCATCTCGCTTGGCCTTGGCCAGATCCCCATTTCTTCCTGCACATGTGACTGGGGGAGCTTCTAGTGGGGTCTTGTATCCAAACTTCTCTCACCCACCTTCCCTGCTCCAAGCCAGGAGTCTTGCCTCAGCCTGTCCAAATGCCTGCATGGCTCCCCAGCCACAGTGCCAACCCCTGGCACTCATGGTCCTGGTCTGGCCTCGGTCTTATCTTCTGCAGCTCCAGCCCCGCCCCAGGAGCCAGCCTCTGCACGGCATAGCCGGCACGTGGCCCCCTGCCCAGGAATCCCAGTGGGACTCATCTAAGCCTTACCTGTGTCTCCAACTCACTGTATTCAAGCACCCAGTATCAATCTGCTGGGCCCTCTGCTTCCCACTTGGACCTCAAGCAGCTTGAAGATCAGGACCTCTGTCTGCCCGAGGGTCTGAGACAGCCCTGGCGGGCAGCAAAGGCCCAGAAACATTCAACCAGCTTCCCTCCATTTACATTTGCAGAAGCTAAAGTTCAGACACGTGAAGGAAGAAGGCCAAAATCACTCAGAAAGTGTCCTCTACAACGGCCCACCGAAGTCCCGAAGGAGAGCTTTGCTACATCAAGAGTGGAGAAAGCCGAGCCTTCCCGGCACCGATGCTCACGTCCACACCATGCCACACGTCAGCCCCTATTTCAGGGCGTCTCGCAGCTGAGCTGGGTCAGCACAGGCATTCAACTACCCTGCACTTTCTCTGGCCCCCGGAAACCACCACCCACGCTCAACACCACCTTGTCTGCAACAGACCGAGACCACACTTCCACAGAGAGGGCAGCCACCTCACCCAGAGCCAATTCTGGACTTAAAATGCAGTTAACAACTCACTGGTCCCTGTGCTTGTCTTGCTACAAGAGACCAGACAGATGGGCAGTGAGTGCCATCAGCGAGAGAGACAGGGCCAAAGGGGGGGCTCACAGGTAACAAAGGGGCCAAAAGTCCAGGGGTGTCCCTCCCTCACTGCTACGCAGACCATCCAGGTAATCAGACTGCTTCCCCCGCCACACATGGCAGAAACTTCATCCCAACTCAGATTTCAATGATTCTATTAGTAGAGTTCAAACTGTGGGTTTAGGAAAAAAACATTCTTTTTTTCAGAATTTAACAGAATTCTTTTAATTTTCTCTCAAATGTCTCAGTTTCCCAAAAAATGCTCATTAAAAAAAAAAAACATTCCATGTACTTCAATCCTTGCCATTCACTAGAAATAAAAGTATCAACTAGAAATAGCAGAAGCTGTTCTCACTGTATTTCTGACCTAGGAAAGCTCAGTCCTTGAATTACTTTTATTTTGTTTTCTTTCCATAAAAAGCAAACATCCTTTAGAGGTTACTGAGGTCTACCACCTGGAAACCTTCGGGTCTCTCGCTAAGCAACCACGACATTGCAGAAGGCACACTCACAGACTCACAGCACGCCCCCACTTCCAGCAAGCACCCCACCCCCGCCCCCTGTGCCTGGTAACGAGCCGGGGACCAGGACACAAAGTGGGCAGCGTGCCGCAGCAGCTCCGAGGCACTGCCCAGGGGAGTGCCTGAGCGCAGGTCGCAGGTGGACCAGGCGCGCTCACCTCTCCACACAGCAGGTCCCCACGGTGTTCCGCACTGCGGGCCCCAACCAAGCCAAGGGGTGGGCGTCAGACCAGCTCCGCTCATCCCCTGAGATGGGCCAGCTCCTCCATGCTCAGCACTGGGGGGCCCCACCGTGGGGTCCCTGCTCTCGGCAGGACTTCATCCAGCAAGAGGAAGCATTCTAATGTAGAAACTAAGCTAAACCCCCAGAAGTCACGTCTGTGTCTGGGAAACACTGAGCCAGAGGCACAGAAATCTGGCCCCAGGTCAGCTTCAGGAACAGGAGAGCCGCCCACCCTGAAGGGTTTCCCAGCTTACAGCGTGCTCCCCCGTGTTCCCTGGCTGTGCCCCATGGTGCAGAGCAGAGCGCCTTTGAGAAGAAGGCCATCCAAGCCTCCGTCACAGCAACGCGCAGCCAACACACCACCGCCAAGGCAGGCTTCCCCCGCCCATCACCAGCATCAGCCGAGCCTTACTTAAATCTGTCCCCTGGCACAGATTAGGCCTCGGGCCTATTCTCAGCCCAAGCTGATTTCTCCTATCTCCCCAATACCTATTATTTCTACAATTTGCCATTGGAAACCAGGAAATTGTCCAGTTCAAGTTACTAACCTATATTACTAAAAACAATGGAAAAAATGCAATGGCAATATGTTCATAAAATGCATAATTTCACAGATGTTTCTTCCTTGCTTCTAGCTTTTAATAATGAAAATACAGTTCATGGGGAGGCAGGTGGAATATAAAATCACCTGTTATGGAACACAAACGCCAATGTAAAGCTGTGACAGTTTCCCAAGCAGAGGGAGTAGGAGAGGATGCACAGGGGTCGCCCTTCGGGACGGGCGACCTTGGACGAGAGCGGGGCCTCAGTCCTCGGGGACCCAGGTGCGCTTCCACAGGCCCCAAGGGCCCTGGGAGCAAAGTGCCCAGACAGGCAGGACTAAGGTCAGCAGGAGGGGCGTGTGAGGAGAGGACGCAATGCCGCCCCAGGATGGCAGCTCCTGGCCAGACGGGTAGCCGAGGTGCCCAGGTGGGACCCAATGCTGTCAGAGGCCGCGGGAGGACAGGAACGGCACCCATGGGTGGCCGACCGTTGGCCCCAGTGTTCCCTGAGGGCTAGCCTCCCAGGGCTCTCCCATGGCCATTTCCCTTGGGTGCTGTGTGGGCACTGAGGGCGTCATGGCACCAGCGGGGCAGGGACCGGCAGAGGCATGAGGCCTGTGCCCAGAGCGCAGCTCCCTGGCCACCCCTTCACATGGCCCATGCGGTGCCGTCCCCGTCCTCTGAACGAACTTGCCAGAGGGCAGTGGGGGGACTGCCCACACCCCCCACTCAGCTTCACGTCCCAGCTGCTGCCCTGCCAGCCCCCGGGCCACCAGTCGTCCCCCTTCAAGGCTCTCCTGCATGTTTCCATCCTCACAAAGAAGTGCAGGTTCTAGCTTCGTGACAACTGTCCCCAGACACCACGGCTGCTGCCCCCAACTTCGGGCTGCGGGTTCAGCCACGTTTCCTTCAGGCGGCCATCCAAGCAGCCCTCTTTGGAGCGGCTCTCCCACTGTTCCTGCACCTGTCAGCCCTGCCCTGCGCTGGCAGGCAAACCCTCAGGAAGGGGAGGCAAGTCCTCGTCCTGCATCCAGAGACCCTTGATTGTCCCAGCTATGCCAAGGGGAAGTGGCCTGTCCGGGCAGTGGCCAGCCCAGCCCTTAGCACTCCACAACTCCCCCTTCCGTGTGGCATCCCAGCGAGCGCGTGCTGAGGGCAGGGCCTCCTGAGCCCAGAATCCCAGTGCCGGGCTCACACAGGCACCAGGAGTGTGCTGAGAGTTCAGCACATGTGTCTAAGAATCCCACCTCAGCCACACCTCAGTCACTGACAGAGACACACGCAGTGAATGAGTGATCGCCTTCCCGTGTGAGTAACTGGGCCACAGTGGCCAGACAGTGCTGGCGTCCTTACAAGACGCCATGGGGGTGAGCTCATTACACTGTCCGCAAGGCTGCTGAAGGGCAGCACTCAGCCTCCTGGAGAAAGCCACCCCCGGGGTCTGGCTTGTCCCTGACTTTTCAGGGGAGTCTCAGAGCATGGCTATGTGACACCTGCCCCCGTGCACCATCTCCGGGCAGCCCCTCACCCGTAAAAAGGGATGGGGCCCCTCACCAGAGTGGCAGCCTCGTCCCAGCCCTCCCCCTAGGGAAGGGGTGGGGACAAGGGGAGAGCCGACACACAGGACAAGAGGCTGGGGTGACCAGAGAAGGAAGGGCTTGCCAGGGGTGTCCACGGGCATGGGATGCCCTAGGCGGGGCGCTGCAGCAACTGGGCCCATGCAGCCCTGCGTGATGGCCAACAGCCCACAGCGGCACTGAGAGCTTTCCCTAGGGACGTCTGCTGACATCCACTGCCCCTTCGGGCTGGCGGGGGGAACACAGGGAACGGAGAACCTGAGGCCGCGAGGTCCCAGGCACGGCCCCAGGGAGCAGTCTGAGGGGTGCGGGGAGGCCCCCGGCTTGGGCCGCCCAGGTACTCCCAGCAGGGAGAACAAGGCCAGCGGGAGCCTGGAAGGGCCGCAGCCCCCGGCCTCACAGCCCATCAGTAAAGTGGCTGGGGAAACACCTGCTGGCACCTGGCAGGTGCAGGGCATGGTAACAGAGGCCGGCCCCACGGCAGGGCCCCCACGGCAGAGGCGACAGCACGTGCAGCGCTGAAACCCTCCAGGAGAAGCAAGTCTGGCTCCCTTCTCGAAAATCCTGCCCATCTCTTCTCCCCTTGCAGGCGGACCAGAGACCTGAGGGCTCACGGGTGGGGCCGCCCTGGGTGCCCTGCTCCTCAGCTGCCTTCTTCCCCGGACTGCAAACCACAGAGCACTTTCTAAGTGGCACCTGAGGGGGAGTCGAGGCACTTTGTTTCTCCACCTCTGCTGGGGGACACAGCCTGGGTGACTACTTTCCTTCAGGTATTTGTTTTCTCTGGTTATCAAAACATACACTTATTACAGAAGATGTAGAAAAATACAAACAAAATTAAAATCACCTGAATGCCACCACTCAGAGATAATCCCAGTAAGAACATCAGTCCTTTTCCACCCACGTGATCCATGGACGTGTGCAGATCCGTGCAGAGTCCTTCATCACCATTACATCACACATGGACACATGGTCCCAAACGCTCCGCCAGTGCCTACACTGCGTGCCAGGTCAGCTCCTGCGGACGCCACATCTGTGGTCACCAAATTTTCAGCCGGGAGAGGGCACAAACGGGATTAGGGCAAGGGTCCTGAGCCCCAACTCCTGGCCTCAAAATGTATACAGCACCTCCCAGTCCCCACTGAGCCCCACCCATCACAGAGCCAGAGGACACCCACAGCCCCTGTTCTGGCCTCCTCCTCCCCGCCACCCTCCCTGTCAGGCCATCGGCAGGCCGACGGTTCAAGGCTCAGCTGAGGGACCTGCCCCTTGACGCCCCACAGAGCAAACCGGGCTTTGGGATGCCCTGGGCTCCATCGACCACCCACTGGGTCTCAAGTCACCTGCCCAGTGTCCGGGTGGCCACACGTGCACCCTTCCAGGGTAGGGTCTGCTGCACACCTGTGTGTCACCCTGAGTGCCAAGCCAGGGGCTCTCCCCACGCCCGCAGAAGAGCCCGAGGCCAGGCCCCGCCCCTCTGCAGCCTCGCTCCAGCCCCACCTTCACGCAGCCTCACAGCCCTCCAGAGCTCTGGGGCTTTCCTCTCTTTCCAGGTCCTGGCCCCCCTGCAGACATGGTGCGTTGAGGCCACCACTCCCTTGGGATGAAAGCCACACACGAAACAGAGCTTTGGGCTCACGGCATCACCACCGGGATGGCACCCACTGGCCGCCCCGCCCTCCACCCGGGCAACCCACCTGGCTTCTGAGGGCACAAGTGCAGCCACCGTGTCCCAGGACTAGTCTGGACCAGGCTGAGTGCCCTGGCCCACCACCTGGAGACCAGAGACACCCAGCAGGGTGGGTGTGGGGGAGGCATTACCCGGGCTGGGGGCTCAGCCCCAGATCCACATGGAGAACTCAGAGGGCCTGGGGTGACATGCAGCGCCCCCCTCCAGCAAGGCAGGGCCAGCTGACCACAGCAGCATCGGCGACGCCTGGACACACAGAGAACACGGGGCTCTCACGTCACAGGACAGCTGTGAAACTCGAAACCACAACATTCATCAGACCTGCTCCCAAGCCTATTACTAAATGTGATAAAGGACTTATCTGATACTTTGTCATGCATTTGTTATTTTGATAAGTGCACTGCAATGTGACCAAATTTTTTGTCATCCTCTGTATTTGTTCCATGACTTGAAAAACACTGTCTGGAAAGGACTCCATCTCTACGGCTCACAGGACTGACAAAGGGCTCATGACCCAAACACCTGAGAACAGTCTGCTCTAAGGGCACAGAGTGGCCTCATCTCTAAGCAGAAAAGATGGTGTCTCAGAAACCTCCCTGGTCTCTGTGGTGGCAGGAGGGCAGGCAAGTCTGATGTGCTCCCAAGGCAGGGCCCTGCAGGCAGCACCACGCCCCATAGGCCCACCATGGGGCTTTTAGTCTCCATGGCTGCCCAACACAGACGCGTGTGAGCTCACAATTTACTGGCTGCCATGACAACCGGCTCTCCAGGCTCACCACAGGCCGCCTACCATGCAGGGGCTCAGAGTTTGAGAATCAGAAATCACACAGCCTGCAAAGGCCTGACAGCACAGCCTTGCGCACAGAACTGAGGCTGATTCGCTCCCAGGGCCAGACCTGCACATGGTCTCGGGACCTCCCGGCTCCACGCATCCACCTAAGGCCAGCAGAATGGGCCACAGGAGGAGGGGCCGCCACCAGGCAGGCGATCTGGTGACCAGAGAGGGAAGCAAGCTTTCCTGGGAGAAGCAAGCACACAAACCATATTGTCCAGAGATGCTCTCTATTTCTGCCATTTTCTAAATCTCTAAGAACAGCGAACTGAATCTTCAAAAGGCGGAGTAACAAACACATCAGGCCAGGCACCCAGTTTGGAGTCTAACAGGTAGACGGTAACCCCCTGGGGTCTCGGCCACCACGGGCACACCTCCGGCCTTTACTGCGGCTTCCACTGCCTGTCTGCTGGGCGACAAGCAGAGGCAGGCGGTCTTGGTGCGAGCTTATACCTTCAGGCCAAAAGCAGCACCCTGACCACAGACGTGTAGTAAATCACAGAATGTGGAGCCGGAAGTCACCTTGGTAACCAAGGGGAGAAACTCACCCTCCCTGTTCCCCGTCCCCAACCTGCTCTGAGTCATTTTCCTCCTGAGCCGGAGGCGGGGACCAACGGCAGTGAGGCAGGGCTGGGGGTTCGGTGGAGGGGCAGGAGGTACAATGAAAACACCAAGAGGCCGGCACCAAGGCTTCCTGTCACCACCCCCGGCCCCACGCCCAGACACTGCTCCTTACACCACATCTTACTGTGACTTATATGACCTTCAAGAGCAAAAATATCTGTGTGACTGTTCACTCCTGGGTGACTTAAGTGTTCCTTAAGAAAAAACTAAATCAGAGAGTCATTAAACAAATAGCCTGGCTCTTCAATCAAGCAGCTTTGGTCACTGGCAAATGCCGCCAATGGTCCAGGCTCTGTATTAACTGGCTGTTCTGCTGCCACCTGATTTGGTGGCCAGCTGGCTGTGAGCGCAGCCTGCCAGCACCCATGTCTCAGTGGCCAGGGATGTTTAAGGTTCGCCACCAAATACCATGAGGCCATTGCTGAGCTCCTTCCAGAACCTCAAAGTGAGCGTCAGCATTCACAGCCATGCACACTCTATTTTCCTTTCAGAATTCTGTTTTCATTATATTGGGCATCAGCCAGAAACTACAAAGGTTAAAGGAAGTGATGAAAATAGCTGGGGACCTTCCAGCCCTTCCATGCTACACCCCAGGCCATGCCAGGCAGAGACAGTCACTCCTTTCTGCTTCTGGACATCCCTGTGAGGTGGAAATGGAGGCTTTGGGGTCGAGTGACTTGTCGGGGTCCCTTGGCTTGGCAGGGCCTGCTTCCACCACAGGCTAGGGGTGGACAGAGTCTGGTGGCTCAGGGGGCACAGAGCAGTCAGCTGACGCTGTCAGGCCCACACGCTCCCGACCCGGCACATGTGGTTGCCACTCAGCCAGTGCACCTGTTGCCCACACAGGCCACCCAGGCTGTCTCATCTGCTCGATACAGCGGCCCTTTTGGTGAGATGAACGGACGCCTTCTCAGAATGAAGCGCCAGCAGTGCAGACAGGGACATCCACCCCTGTCAGCTGGAGGTGAAACAGAGCGACGACAGGCTATCCACAGGCCCAGCGACCAGCCAGCCGTCAGCTGAGAGACCTGGCCTAACCCAGCCTGAGGGCCCATCAGATGCCACCGATGCAGGAACACTGGCTGCCCGTCAGCCTGGGCTTCACGGCCGAGAGGAGCCAGGACAGAGCATGGTCTGTAGGACCAGCACCCCCTGAACCTCCGTAGACTCACCTCAGAGCCAGCGTGGGGGCTCCCCAGGCTCCTGGGCGCACAAGAAAGCAAAATGTGACGGGATAGGGGAGAAAAGGGGCCCCGTGCCCTCGGGGGTCCCGGGCAGAGGCCGGCAGGTGCGCACAGTCACGACTGAGGAGCGACTCCACCACCCGCACACTCTGGACCCAGCAGTGCCTGTGCTGAGGGCGGGGGTGGGGGTGAGCTGGTGCCGCAGGGTGTTTCCGGGTGATCAACGCCCGCCCAGAGCCGTGGGCCACCGAGGAGAGCGCGAGAGCCCCCGCCCTGTTGCGGGGGCCAGCCCCGGCAGAAGCCAGCCCCCAGCCACAGCCTCAGGGTCCCGGGTCCCAGCCAGAGGTGACAACGCCCTCCCTGTGTCCTGCAGGAGTGGGGACAGAGGACACAGCTACAGCACCCAGCCCGGGGCAGCGGGGGGCCCCACCCACACCCTAGTGTGCGGCTGTCACTGGCTCCTCATGCCCTTGGGCAGTGTGTGCCAGTGTCCCCAACTAAGGGGACGAAGCCGGGAGACAGGAGAGCCCAGAGGAAAGCCTGAGGAGGCTCCCCGGGCGGGCGGGGGCCGGGCAGGGAGGCAGCCGGCGGGGGCGTCACAGACCTTTCTCGGGAAATGTGTCATCTGCGCGCGGGCCACCGTTCCTGTAAGTCTTTCATTTCTTCCTCTTGATAAAAATTCTCTGGGAAATTCCAGCCTGTCAGCCTGGTTCTTCACAACACTCCGAGAAGGGGCCCCGGAGGGCAGCCTGAACAGGGGCGGTCACTCGGGCAGGGACGGATGTCAGGGCCCACGCGGAGGCAGGAGCCTGGCACGGCGGGCAGGGAACACGGGCTGCCTGGGGATCGCTACTAGAATGCCTCACTCAGCTTCTGTGGTTGAATGAGTAACATTCTAAAAATACTTTAACCTCATTTTAGTGCGCGACAGAGCATGCACACGAGGAGTCTGTGACACATGCGTGCAGTTTAGGATTAGTTATAAAACAAACATCCAACCGCCCCACGCCAGTGACTAACTGCATAATTTCTCTCTTTTCCTTGCAAACTCAAAGAACTGCATCTACAATGGGCTTTTTAATGGGCTTCTGTGGTTCAACTTGAAACTCCAACCATCATTTCAAACTCCCTCTCTTTGAGAAATGGCCCAAAAAACCACCCCTGTGGTCTATAAAAAGAGAGCTATTTTCCTGTAAAAATTGCTTTAATAAAATTTCCCTTATTAGTTAAAATGTCCCCTCTGACCCACCATCTGTCTTTACTTGACAGTATTAGAGATACTACAGTAAATACAAGGAGAAATTAAATACTTGGAAAGTGTGAAGTGCCTCCTGCTGAAACGCTCCGTCAGTAGCTGACGTGCACCCCACTGCTGCTGGGCCTCCCACCACAGACGCATGGTTCTCAGAGCAGAAAGTCCAGCCATACCATGCAAGCCCTTCACAGAGGTTCCGTAAAGGCAGGAAAACTATCATGTGCGTTTCCCTCCTATTCTCTGCAGTGTTGACCAGATACAGGTCTGTGCTTATTCTGAGTCTCTCATTAGTAACTGCCTCTCCTCTGGAATGTGGGCGTCCCGAGGGCAGGGACTGTGTCTGCTCTTGTAGAACTGTTGAATGAATGATGGGCAAACGGATGAAGACATAGCTTGGTGCCATGCTCGCTCACAGTAGGAACACCAGTGCAAATTTAATGCTCAGTGCCCGGTTTTAGGGCAAGACCAAGAGGCATCTACATGAAGACCACGACTCCATCTTTTGCTAGCAGTCTGAACATTTCAGCGCGAGACACTGGCATCTATCAAGTATCTGCTACATTCCAGGCACAGGACTCCAGGCACCTTCTTCTCACTGACTCTCACCCACCGCCTCGGGACAGGACTGTCTTCATTTCACACAAGGACCTGGGGGCCCACGGAGGGTGCTGCCCTGGGCAGACCACAGTGCTAAGGTTTGGACTGCAACTGCCTGACACCGAAGCAGTTTACAATGGGGCCCTTACCGACGCCGTTTGCCCATCCATCCACCCTCCAGGACAGAAGGGTTCACAGGGCGTCTCTCACACTTCACCAGGTCTGTTCCTCCAAAGAACCTAATCCTTTTTATTACGCAGCACATACAAGAGTCTAACGTGCCATCCTCTGCTCCCCCAACCCTGTTAGGCAGAAAGTTCAGAGAACTCTCTTCAGTGGTCCTCTACAGTGGCCAGCTCATCCTAGTTGCCTAGCACATATCTCAACGCCAGTAGAAAATGCATAAATTCCCTCTCAATATGTGTATTGTTATTTTTAGCTCCAATAATAATGCAGAAAGTAACAGCCACAACTGGTGGACCAGGCACAGCGCCAAACCTTCACGCGTGTCGTCTCGTTGAGTCCTTACGCCGGGGAAGGCAGAGACGCGCAGGCAGGGAGCTGAGGGGTCCAGAGGTGAAGAACAAGCAAAGCCAGAGCTCGGGCACCAGTCCTGCCATCAGCACATGGGCTTCGCCGCCAGGCCACGCT